CCATATTTTTGTTCATTTAAAGATATTAAATTGAAAAAAAAACTACTTCATCACAATTTTAATCACCACTTGAGGACAACGATAATTTAAAAAAATAAATTAAAAAAAAGAGTGTGTTAAGACTGAGAAAGCCATTAAATAAAACAATTCCCCTTCAAGTTCCAGTCGTCACCATCGTTAAAGTTTTTGCTTTCAAAAACGGTGAAAATATAAAATTAATTAAATAGTAAATACCGATAAATACCAATTTTTTTATACCTTCGATACCGATAAGCTTTAAAAAAATCTGACAACGCTGGTCGGCGTCTACAAAAAAAATTGCAATTGCTTATCTCTCTTTCTCTCATCGTTTCATTGGTCTTTCTTTCAAGCTTCAGTGAAGCGGACATGTGCAAGAACGCTCGACTTTGATAGGATAGTGTTTCGTGAAACACATCATTAGAGGTTTCTTGGCGTCATATACTGGCGGAAAATGAAAATAAATATTTAAAGCATTTATAACGTGCAAACATTTGAAGATTACACGTTTAATATGTTAGTTTATCATCCATCAGCACATATTTATCTAACCAAAGTAACGAAAACGGGACATAACGCATATTAAACAAATGAAAAGAGCGGTAATAGAGTGTCGGTAAAAGGGATGAAAGCCGTAATGAGGTTTCGTTTCAACTCGAAAATCGACGTTACTTTCATTGAAAGCGATGAGCAAAGCAATGACGAGAAGATCCACAGTCAGCCTTTCGTTCTAAGGGTGCTCCTATTTCATTTTCGTTTCGTGCTGAATTAAACGGGTCTGAATTGCGAGTAGGTTGCATTAACGTTGTTTTCAGAAATATCAAATTTTTTGGAGTGATTCGACTTTTGGGAGTAATTGCATTTGAAAACAAACACGTCAATCGCCCACTTCTTACGAATAAAAGGTCAATCTCGAGATCTAATAACACAATCAGGTAGATGAATGATTCCTCTATCATTTGGTATATTTTGTTTACGAGGTTGATCTTTTATTCGTGAGAAATCAGCGTTGACGTGTTTGTTTATAAATGCAATTAATCCCAAAACTCGAGTCATTAAATTGAGCCCAAACAATTGAAAAAAAACTGCGCTCAATTGTGAAACTGGTATTGATATGCAAATAGAAAAGATATAATATTTAAGCAAATAAAATTAATCCAAATAAGTAGAATATGAGAATTAATCCAAATGGGTAGAATATGAACCATTATTCAGTCTTCAATCTATCATTTTTAGTTTGCACTCGTTGAGAACGTTTTTCATATTCCTGCAGTTTCTCGTCTATTTCGTTCAACTATTGCTTGGTATTTTTTTCTTTGATTTGTTTTCCGTACTGAGTACCAATGCTACCGACGCCAGGATGGCAGCTCCCACACCTGAACCCTACCTATCGACCCATCAACTCATGGACCGGCGACCAACGGCTTGGCTTTACTTCCCTTCCGAAGGTGCGGTCAGAGATTTTATGCCTCATAAAATCCCGGCGGCGCTGACAGGGATTGAATCCAGGCCTTTTGGTGTGAGAGCCAATCACGCTTACCACTACACCACCGGCGCTGCTATAAAATTATCACTTGTTCTACTATCTTTTAGCATGCATGCATGCATGCAGGGATGGATCGCTCCGACGTTATCGATTTAATTATACGTTTGGTACGATACTTTAGTTCTAAAGCTACAACATAAAGCCTTTAAGAGTGCAAATTGTGAATAACTTTCCTGTATGTTTGTACGAAATTGAAACCCCTAGGCCGAATTTAGAATCTATAAGTGGTTTAGTATTTTTAGCAATATTTTAACAATTTGTGACTCTATATCAAATCCAAATGGAAAGGTTAATAAATTTAGAAGTCATCTGTTGTTGAAACGTTCAATTTTATGATAAAATTAGGTTGCAAAAGAGAAGTAAACTGCTGGTTGTACTTATTCGGCCGAACTTAATATCAAAACCCTACTTATGAAACCAATGCATTTTTTGTTTACTTCAAGCCTTTAGCAGAACGTGACAATACGCTCAAATAATTTCCGCAATTTCGGATGATAGCGTTTTGTTTCGGGAATAGCTTCACAATACAATCAATTTACTTTCCTACTCAAGTTTCTCAAGACGTGTCAATTTCACAATACATTAATTTGAGACATTACACATGTTACCATTAATCGTATATATATAACAATGCTGGACCACAATGCTCCAGTAGTCAATTGAACGGCAAGTATGAAGCTGCTCTTACTTTTTACATTTGGTTCCCTCTCAATATGGTCGGTGGATGGCGTTGGTTTTTTACCAGCCGAATCTCCTCGCAGTAAGTGATGTGCTTTCGAAATCAAGCTCAAAATTATCAATATCATATTATCCACAGTGTCTTGTAGCCCGCATCAGGTCCTAGTGTCTAGGCGTCCCAGTTGTGAACCAACGTGTTCACAAAGCTGTGCTCCAGATTTTACCGAAATTGGCGAACCAACATGTGTTTGCAGACCTGGATTGGTGAAACATTATGACAGGTGTATTCCGAAATCGAAATGTCCTTCCAAAGTGTGGTATCCCACGTGTGAATCTCATGAATATTCGGAGTACTCTGATGAATCAATTGAGTTGATATGTAACTGAAAGCCAGGAAGAAATTCGAGATTTGGTAATTTATCAGAATCTATTTATTCTAGATCCGTGTCCACAGAACGAAGTCCTTGTGCGCAACCAGGTCTGCTGCGAACCTACCTGCACGAATCAATGTGCCGAAGATGCGTGCGTTTATTCCGAAGATGCTTTGGAGAGCTGTGTTTGTGACTCCGGGTATGTCCGGAATAAGGGAGTCTGCATACCTGCCGATAGCTGCCCGGTTGTTCCATGTACGCTTAATTCCAAATACAGTCCCTGCACGCCAAGTTGTGTGGACACTTGTAGTGCTCGATGCAAACCACAGTCCTATGACTGTTCTGGACCGCCGACATGTGTCTGCGATGATGGATATGTAAAGCAAGGGCGCCAGTGCGTTCCGGAAAAAATATGTAGACTTCGTTTGAAGCGATGATTCTTTGGTATTTACTTAGTTTTGGTAGTTGACACATCGCAATGATGGAAATATAATTCGTATGCACTTTTTGTATTTATGATAAAACTATAGATGAATGTGCATTTTATTTGCTTTCTGAGAATCTTCGGTGAACATGTTGTACATTAGGGTGGGTCAATGTTACAACCCCCTGTTCCCCTCTGCTATTTCAATGCGTATTGAGGTCCCCAACAACAGTGCAAAATTTGAACGAATTCGGTTATAACCTCGATTTGCGGGTGAATGTTAAATCATGTATGGGAAATGGAGCGATCTTATTCATTTGCATGCCAAAAATCTAAACGTTGCTCAAGTTTCACCAAATATCGGAGTTAGATTAAGAATACTATACAAAACAACTTTGTCGAAGACTGTAAATCGTTTTAATCTTTGTACAAAAAGTTACTAATCTTTCATTTTAGACCAACTGTTTCATTGTTATTTGGAAAGCTCAATAGCGTTAGCTTTACGGAGCCGATAATTCATTGTTTATAGTTTGTATCAAAAATTGGGCCGTTGGGCCGAATACTCGGACCTCTAACTTACCCGAGTGTCGCCAGTATTAACGGTAGTGCGGTTCTAGTTTAGTAATAGGTCTAAACTAATATAATAATAACTTTTTTCTCAGATGTCTAATCGATTTGCAGTCTGGGACAAAGTTGTTCTGCATAGTATTCCCAATCTATTTTCAAGATTTGGTAAAATTTTAACAATATTTGAATTTTTGGCAAGCAATAGGTTCGTTTCGTTTCCCATAAATTTTCCCATACAAAATTTAAAAACCTCCCGCAAACCAGATGATAACCAAATTCGTTCAAATTTGACACTGTTGTCGGGCAGATCAATACACATCGGAAAAGTAGTGTGGAACAGGGGGTTGTAATCCACCATGCAAACTTGACCCACCCTATTGTACATAGGAAAGGCACCAATGTTGACATACACTGAAAAAAAATTCACTTAGTTTCTATTAGGAACGCACATAATATTTTTTCAATAAAAAAATAATGATTGTTATCTGAGTATCACATAGCATAAGAAATTCTTTATGAGAAATCGTATAGATTTCATTGGGAAATTTTCAATTATGGGATCACATGAAATTTATGGGAATTTCACATGGACATTTTCCACTGGTTATGTGATTTACTTTATGAGTGTAGGTGAAAGATGATCTGAAAATCTGGACGTTTCGGCTTAGGAATTTTTCGGGTTAGATCCCTGGGCTTATAATATGATTGTACTTGTCACACAATTATCCTAATGCAAAAATGGTACAGACATCGAAAGCTCTCAATTAATAACTGTGGAAGTGCATCTAGAACACTAAGTTGAGAGTACGCAATAAGCTAATATGCGATAAGCAATGAAGCTTGAAATGCGAAGAAGAAGAAAAAGAAAGCTACATTTGGCGTTCTTAACAGGGCTGCCAGATTTGAAGACATGTCTTTATTTTGAAAACATTTGAATATCTGTAAAGGCATTTTTCCTGCAGACATTTTAAAGGCATTTCAAGTTTTTTGAAGATGTTTAAATATATGCTGAAATTGAAGAAGACCTATGAAGGTTTTTTAAAGTACATAGTTCAAAAAAGTAGTGTAAATTTCTGTTAAATTTGATGAACATCAATGGAGCGTCACATATCATATAAGTTTACATTATAAATCCTGTAAAGTTCTTAGACATTTCATGCAATGTAGATATATTGTATGCAAAAGCCCATCTTTGTAAACAATATTGTTTACACGTTGCTCGGTTGCATGAAATGAAATACAAGTTTACGTGAATGAATATTTACATCACAATTAAAATTCAAAATTTTTAACTGTGTAGACATTACAAGATTTTTGCTATAGAAATGCAGATTTTACTTGTTGAAAATGTTGACTATAAATTATGTAATCAAAATCAGTTTTTTTAATAATAAAGGGTGTCCACGATGAAATTGCCACACTATGAAATTGCTCTAACTTTTTAACCGTTGGGTAGAATTTAATGAAAATTTGGGTGGATTTAGTTCATAGTGCATTATTTACATCCTGCAAGTTTTAAAGTCCTGTGATCAAAACTCGCGGAAATGGAGTCGAAAGAACAGCTCGTGCGTGATAAAATCTTGCGCATTCATCACAAGAACAAGGATCTCTCGCATCGTTCCATCGCTAAAACGTTGGGAATCGCGAATTCCACGGTGTCGCGAGTGATTAAGCGGTTCGAGGAACGGTTGACCACCGATCGGAAGCCCAGAAGTGGAGGAAAAAGTATTCCGTACAACACCAAAAATCACAACCGCGTAGTTGGGGCCTTCAACCGAAATCCGAACGCCTCCGTTAGGGATGTGGCTAAGAAGCTGCACCTAAGCCGAAGTTTTGTCCAGAAGGCCAAAACTAAGGCTGGGCTTCGAACGTTCAAGGCACAAAAGGCCCCTAATCGCGACGAGAAGCAGAACAAGTCCGCCAAAACCCGTGCCAGGAAGTTGTACCTCAACATGCTGACGAAAGTTGAATGCTGCATCATGGACGACGAAACATATGTGAAGGCCGACTTCAAACAGATCCCCGGCAACCTGTTTTTCACGGCCAAGGATAAGTTCAGCGTTCCGGAGCATGTCCGCACTCAGAAGATGTCCAAATTTGCGAGGAAATTCCTGGTTTGGCAAGCCATCTGCACGTGCGGGAAGCGGAGTGCACCTTTCGTGACCCAGGACACGATGAACGGACAGGTGTACATAAAAGAGTGCCTCCAGAAGCGGCTGCTTCCTCTCCTGAAGGCCCACAACGTCCCAACAATCTTCTGGCTGGATTTGGCCTCATGCCACTACTCCAAGGACGTGCTGAAGTGGTATGCGGACAATAAGGTCAATTTCGTGCCGAAAATGTTCAACCCTCCCAACACTCCGGAGCTCCGCCCCATCGAGAAGTACTGGGAGATTATGAAGCAGCACCTTCTTAAACGACCTAAGGTAGTGAAGACAGTCGAGGAACTGAAGAAAGTATGGGTTTACATGCAAAAAACGGTTGATTCACAGGTTGTGCAGAATCTTATGGCCGGGGTTAAGGCCAAGGTGCGTATGGACTGTAAATAAAATACGAGTAAAATGGTAAAATGAAGTTTAATAGTTATTTCTCAATCCCTGAAAATTTGATGGCAATCGGATGAAAACTCGAATTTTGCGAATCAATTTTGTGTGTGGCAATTTCATCGTGGACACCCTTTACTTGTTTGACCTGAATATCCACAGGACTGCACTAAAAATGAATCAGCTGGAGATCTTTTGATTTTTTTTTTCTGATCCGCCTGCCATCTGGGAAGATTATTTGAGGGATTTAGTTTTATGTTTTGAACAGTTTAAGATCTTCAGAATAATACTTGATTGAATATTCAGGGGGCTTTATTGAAATCTTCGATCAGTTGAAGATCTTTTGAATACACTCAAATCTGTTTTCATGCGAATTCATTGTTTCGATTTTGTCCTCTTTAGAATCAATCAATAATCAGTAATCAAAAGTTTCAGTACAACTATATTTTTTTCAGATTTTTTGAGGCAAGTTGCACTAAATTTGGTTGCAATTTAAGAACATAATACAACGATGATGAGTGTGCTTCCTTAGCACATTGCCGTATTGGAAAAATGTCTGAGAGACAATATTTGATTTTTTTTTAAAGTTGACGATCTTCAGTCAACCTGCAGACACGATGAATATCCAGAAAACTTTATAAAAATTTATCTAAAATACGTTAATATCAACAAAGTTCTCTAAAACTCTACGAAGTTTCCTAAACTTCTACGAAGGTTCCTGTACTTCCACAAAGTTTCTTGAACTTCCATGAACTTATACGATGCACCATGGACATTTTACCCACTCCATTGAGATTTTCCAAAATTCCCTGAGTCTCTGTAAAGTTCCCTGAACTTGTGGGAAGTTTCGCTAACTTCTGGGAAGTTCTGTCAACTTCTGTGAAGTTCACTGATCTTCTACGATATTTCCATAGCTTATACAAACTTTCATAAAACAGTAGAAAAAGGTTATCTTATTCCACTGCAGTGCACTGTGGGGAATGACACTGATGTAGACTGCACATTTGAGTCGAAATACGTATCTGTCATGGATATCAAAATAAATTAAGTGGAATTAAATGGAAGATAACCGTTCATACTGTTTTATTCAGGCATTCCGCTAACAACCCAATTTCAGTACTTCAAACTTTCATAAATTTCTAGGTCGTTCACAACATTCTTTTGAATTTCTACCACGTTTGATAAACTTTTGACGTAGGACTACGTCTGTGATTTCTATATGGGGGCACACTTTGTGAAAACCGAAAATGGATCATATAACAAAATTATGAAAGATTTTGAACGTTAATAACTCAGCTGCCCCTGGACCAATTTCAATAATGTTATCTGTTAATTTTAAAACTTTATCATTTCTCAAAATGTCACTATTGAAAATTGCACGAATGTGCAACTGTTGCTTTGATAATTAAAATTATCGCCGATTGCGTGTGAAAATCGATTTCCCTAACACAGATTTCAAAGTTGAATACCATCCAGTCTCACCAAACGGTGTTTATTCAATCACCTCGTGGTGAGTGGTAGTGTTCTCCGTTACCCAATGAAAGGCTGCCTGCAAGCAGCGAGCTGCAGCCCACATGAGTATCCTTAGAAGGAGGAACAAGCCGCACCGCTATTGATCGGAATCAGGAATTTCCGTGTAAATACAGAACCACTAATTACCCAGAATTTATACTATACATAAATAACAGAAGATGATATTTTTGATTTTTTTTAAAGGTTACAAACGATACCCCTTTAGCTCAGTCGGTAGAGGCGCAGCTGCAAAGTAAGTCCATGCTGGAGGTGACTAAGTTCGATTTCCGTCCGGTCTATTAATTTTTTGGGTTGGAAAATTTCTCTACTTCCTTGGGAATAGGATGGTACAGGCATAGAAAGTTCTCAATTAAAATGTGGAAATACTTAAAAGAACACAAAGTTGAGAGCATGCAAAAATCTAATATGCTATAAGCAATAACCTTGAAATGCCATGTAGTAGTATATAAATGGTATTTTTTGGCAATGAAAATAGTTTTTTTTTGTCGTGGATTAGTATTTGAAGTCGCGGATTTCTTTTGAGAAAATCTCGGATTTCGCGGATCAAATTAAAAAAAAACGTCACCATTGCGTACAACCCCATAGGGCTGTCCCTTGTATTTTTTAGTATTTCCTATACTATCTTAATGCGCATAATTGTACCACGTTTCATAAGGATTGGATAGAACATGAGGCAGTTATACTTATAACGGCAGTATAACTCATACAAAGTTCCCCAAGATTTCTGAAAATTTTCTCAACTTCACCCTTGAACTTCTTCCTAATCACATTTTTTTCCAAGCTCTCTTCATGCAAACAAGATTTCAGAATATCTATGAATTCCTCTGGACCTGCGAGAAGTCCCTGAACCTTTTCTACGAATATTCCTGAACATCTGGGCAGTTCTCTGAAATTGAATAAAGTTCCTAAAGCTTCCAGGAACCTTTAAGTTGAGCTTTTTTAAAGTAAAACTGCTTCGAAGTTTCCTAAACTTATACTGATACTTGAGCTTATGAAATTTTTCGAAGTTTGTTGAGGTTTTACAAAGATTGCTGATTTTTTTTCGATTTCGTGAGCTTTTACAAAATTTCCTGCATTTATTTGAAGTTTTACCAAAGTTTTGAATTGCCACGTTATTTTACAAAATTAGCCGAACTACTACGAAATTCGCTCATTTTCTACGGAGTTCCTCAAACTTTTAAGAAGTTTGTTGATTTTCTACGAAGTACCCTCAAGTTTCCTGAACTTCCACGGAGGCCCCTTAAAAATTCCAAGGCTACGAAAATTCAACGAAAGGCTCTGAAGTCAAACAAAGTCCCCTAAACTATTACGAAGCTTCCTGAAATTATACAAAGTATCCATAACTTCTACAAAGCTCCAAAAACTTGTAAACAGTTCGTACTTCGAAGTGGTCCAGATTTTTTACAAAGTTCCCTGAACGAAGTTCTCTAGCGCTCTACGCAGTTTCTAGAATTTCTACCCTGAACATCTACAAAGTCCCTGAAGGTGTACGATGTTTTTACTTACTTACTTACTTAACTATCCTGGGCACACATCCTGGGTGATACAAAGGGCCAACGTAAAAGACTTCCATCCTGAGTGGCTGCTTGTGTTTGCTTTAACCTGTCCAGTAACGTCTGGTAGATTACCTTTTAAGATTTACCACCGAAGCCTTGTCCGAACTACTTCAAACTAGGGAAACAGGATTGTTTTTGTAATCAAAGGAACACATCTTAGTCCTTTTTTATTATTATGTCTTGTTGATAGTGACATTGGGGCCTCCCTTAGCTCAGTCGATAAAGGCGCAGCTACAAAGCAAGACCATGCTGGAGATGGCTGGGTTCGATTCCCGGTCCGGTCTAGGAATTTTTCGGGTTGGAAAATTTCTCGACTCCCTGGGCATAGAGTATGATTGGACTTTGCACACAATCATATCAATGCAAAAATGGTACAGGCATCCAAAGCTCTCAATTAATAACTGTGGAAGTGCATCTAGAACACTAAGTTGAGAGCACGCAATAAGCTAATATGCGATATGCAATAAGCTTGAAATGCGAAGAAGAAGAAGAAGATAGTGACATCACGGTTTTGTCCACCGAAGATGACCTTGAAACAAGGAAAAAATGAGCTAGGTAGATATATTTGTTTCTACGTCATTACTAATCTTGTATTCGCTGTCCTCCAGTTTGAAGTGGTTAAGACTAGAATTCTGTTGCATGGTCATTATAGGTGTTAGTGCTTAGTTTAGTTGCGAAGAAATCCGTTGTTGACTGACAAAAGGGCACGTCTTTGAAGGGTGCTCTAACACTCCGAATGGTATAACGAACGGGACCTTACAATTAGAGTCAGATTCTTGCGAAATGGCTCAAATCTTATCTAACTAATCGCCTACAAATAGTTAGATTCAAAGGGAAGAAATCAAATCCTATTCAAGTCAGCTCAGGAGTACCCCAGGGGTCTCATTTAGGCCCTCTGTTGTTTATAATATTTGCCAACGACATTTCCTTCATTTATGCCGACGACATGAAGCTCTTTTTAGACATAAGAAACAAAGAATACATCGAGGTATTCCAGAAGGAAATTCACATTTTCTATGTTTGGTGTAACAAAAGCCTTTTACAGCTGAACGAGCCAAAATGTAATTCAATATTTAGTAGGAAACGAAAATTAGGCTGGGCAAGATATCCTCTTCCATCACATGAAGCCCGCTGTATGCTCATCATCATCCAAACATTAAAAGAGCACCACGAATTTGCAATGGTCTCATTTGTAAACGATATCGTTTCGCATCGCATACTATGCTAAATTTGGAACTTTCAATCAGATGATGGCAACTTTTTTTTATGGCCCACCACTAACCCCTACACCAAAAAGCTCTTTTGAGCCCCCTAATACTGGACTCATCTCAAACTTAACGTAAGGTATACATTAAAAAATAATAATACAATCAAATAAACATATGCTTCATTGGTGTGTGCACGAAAGTGATGAACACTAAACAAAAACTAAATAAAGAAGGGAAGCCAAAGAGCACAGCGAAACTATTGACTTTACAATGACATAAGCCAAACCAAATACTTCAATTCCATTCCTTAACCCTTTGTCTGTACCTCTAAAATAAAGGGTATTAAATAAAATTCGAAATATGTATGTCTGAATTTAGAGGCAGGCATAAAGGGTGATACGGTCAAAATTTGGTCAAGGGAAAACGCGTGTAAATCGGTTAAATCGTTTATTTAAAAAATCAAATTAAATTTCTTTTTCAAGTTCAATTAGTATAAAATTCAGGAAAAATATTCAGTTAGGCTTCCGCTTTTCCAAATCCGAATTGCCGGGCCTTACGCTTGACCCCTGCCATCAGATTTTGTACAGCCACCTTGTCCACCTTCTTCGCCGCAGAAAGCCAGTTTGCCTTGAACTGCTGCTCGCCCTTAGCAGTTTTTTTGGTCTTCTTTAGGTTCCGCTTGACAATAGCCCAGTATTTCTCAATTGGGCGGAGCTCTGGCGTGTTGGGAGGGTTCTTGTCCTTGGGAACCACCTGCACGTTGTTGGCGGCGTACCACTCCATGGTCTTTTTACCGTAATGGCAAGATGCCAAATCCGGCCAAAACAGTACGGAACAACCGTTTTTCTTCAGGAAAGGCAGCAGACGTTTATTCAAACACTCTTTCACGTAAATTTCTTGGTTGACAGTCCCGGAAGCTATGAAAATGCTGCTTTTCAAGCCACAGGTACAGATGGCTTGTCAAACCAGATATTTCTTTGCGAACTTTGACAGTTTCACGTGCTTGAAAACATCTGCTACCTTTCCCCTTCCTTTTGCCGTATAAAACTCCTGTCCCGGAAGCTGCTTGTAGTCGGCTTTGACGTAGGTTTCGTCGTCCATTACCACGCAGTCAAACTTCGTCAGCATCGTCGTGTACAGCCTCCGGGATCGCGCTTTGGCCGTAGTATTTTGTTTATCATCGCGATTTGGAGTCACTACCTTCTTGTAAGTCGATAGTCCGGCTCGTTTTTTGGCTCGATGCACGGTTGTAGACGATACACCCAGCTTATTTGCGGCATCTCGGAGAGAGAGGTTAGGGTTTCGCTTGAAACTACCGGCAACTCTCTTTGTCGTCTCAGCGGCTTCCGGTTTTCGATTTCCCCCCGATCCAGACTTCCTGGCTGTCGACAAACGTTCCCCAAACACTTTAATTACATTTGTAACGGTTGATTTGGCAACTTTTAGCGATTTTGCCAACTTTGCGTGCGAGTAGCTCGGATTTTCGCGATGCGCGAGCAAAATTTTGATACGCTGCTCTTCTTGCTTGGACGGCATTTTGACAACTGAAGAGTGAATTCCAAAATCAAAATAGGAGCAACATTCTACACACACACACACCTTCAAAATGAGGGGTGTTCAGGTTTTTTAAATGCAAAATTGAAAGAAATACGTCAAGTTGATATTGACTAAATTTTGACCGTATCACCCTTTATCAAGAAGACTTGTCGGAGAAAAAATCGTTTTGATGAATAATCAAGGTTGCAAAAATTGCCTGGGGTCATATTGACCCCAAGATACAGACAAAGGGTTAATTATTGAACACGCAAAAGTAATACAATGTAAACAATATACTGTTTAGTCTAGGTTTTTGGATATAATATTGTTTATAAGTAAGGCATAAAATGTGATCATAATTGTATGAAAACGGTCTAGTCTTGATTAACGAGCAATACATAAATTAATTAATTTTCCATTTATGATAAATTTAGTCAATTACCGGTTTTATCGGTATTAAATTTCGCAATGCCGAAAAGCCGATTTTTGGAAACACATCCGGTAATGGTAACCCTAGAGCTAACTCACTAGCCATTTAGAGAAGCCCAGAGGATCCAGCTTTTTCATCACTAAATCATCTGGAATATTATTGAAAACCTTAGAAAAGTCCACATATAAATACCACATCCACTTGCTGCCGTGGAGAGTGCTGATGCAAGGTCGGTGACAGTGTAACCATAGAGGCAACTCTAAGACCAGAAGGTCCCGAAGAAACGTACTCAACTTTTTGGCTCAGCTCTGGTACTCTCTTCGGTCCCAAGCTAATCGATGCACCCCTCGAAACATAGGTAAATCCACGAACCCCTCATGTTATCTGTCAAAGTTTCATAGTGAATCAAAACAAACATAGTGTAGTACTAGAATTTCGACTAGAATGGGGTACGCTTATATATGTACTTGGAACCAATAGGCTAGTCAAGTAGTGAGCCAATTTAAAATCGTTAGTTTCCACTCGTTGGTGTAACGCTTCTTGACAATCCCGTGTTAGAATTCTGAAAACAAAGTAAAAATGACCTAGTCTCTGAGTTATTTTCGACAAGCGTGTATGGAATTTATCATAGTAGGTCGCAATCAGTTTGAGGACCGCTTAAAGTATATCGTAAATCTTTCAATTTTGGTTTTGGGGGTGAAAATATCCAGTCGTGCGTCAAAAAAAAACCATCCGTTTACTTCAATGGTTTCGCTTAACGATTAGCAGATTAACGATAAGATAAACACTTAAATCACTTTAAAGATCCCACTCAGTTCTGTTGCCATGTGCGATACGCGTGTGTGGTCCTATTTTCTACGTCTCACCGTACCAGACACCATGGCGATCCTGCCATCACTATAAATACTTTTATAAACGTAACATAATTCCACGCGCGATTGAACAAACTAGATAACGGTTCAAAAATGATCGACACAATTTTAAAAACAATATTCTAACTCCTGATGTTGATAATATAGCTGATGTGCCTCATCGGACACAAAGTTCAACCCGACCTTATCATCGCTAAATAGGCACGATTTGTCAGCCAACTAATCATATTCATCAAAATATTCATCATCTTTGCACTAATCAACGCCGTCGTAATGATTGATCCCTGTTACTAAACAACCTCCTTTTCTGTGTTTTTGTTTTCCCATTTTTTCAGACATGGCACAAAACATGTTTCCGATGTCACGAGTGCGGTATGACACTGAACATGAAAACATACAAAGGTTTCAACAAACTCCCGTACTGCGAAGCGTAAGTATATCTGCATTCCTTTTTTTACATCATAGTGTCCACCTGCATGAAACCGTGACCATGTATGGATGCGATTCGGCTTATACCTACTTATGATTGATTAAAGGTTGATATAAATTCAAAGCTTGAGATACAACGGGTGCGAAGATGATGATCAATGGAATGTTGGCAGTGGAAACGCTGCAAGGTCAATGACGAATTCCATCTCCAACCGATTTGTGGATTCATTTATATACATATCTAGATGGAAAGGGAGGCTAATTACCGCTGATCAATGCGAGGTGGTCAAGCAATTGTAGATACATGATACAGCGCAGTAGTGGTCAGCTGTGTTGCTGATACGAGTCGACTTTGATCGACCGGAATTTTGCTGATCTATTCGAATCCGCATTTGTTTTGCTCGTACATTTGCATATAATGGGGGCTCCGTTGCTGTGTGAGTGCGTCTTTGATGTCGGGCTCTGTGTAGGAAGACATCGCTCGTGGTGACTCATAATCCCACACCTGGATCGTTATTTGTAGCTGTTCTAAGAAACGAAACGCTAGCCGGGAGTCGCCAAAATCGGTATCGTTCCGCATTCCGGATAACAATATATTATTATTATCGCATGCTTCTTTTGATGTCCCGAAGTCAGCTGGTACAAACGTTACATTAGACTGGCCCACAAAAAAGTATGAACTAGATTACCACTAAGAAAATTACAGTTCATATTTTCCACAGGCCATCATCCAGACTCGTGTCAGTTGGTTAGATAACCACTTTCTGAATGTTTCAGCTGTTTTTGACGTTATTTTGGTTTAATGTTTATAGAGGATTTGGTTGAAATTTTCATGTACAAAATGCAAATACAAATACAAATACAAATACAAATACATTCGAAAGCGAATATCTCAATAAAACTAATCGAATTCATAATGAAGTCTTCAGCAAAGTTTGTTACTCATTGTTTGAACCCCGAGCAGGAACCGATAGCTAATCGATAACAAATGAATATCTGAATGTGGTATGATACCAGATTTCGGTATGCTTGTGGCATAAAACCTTTGTTTTGATATTATTCAGTTATCAACATATTTTGTAAAATATCACATGAATACCAAAATAACAAAATGTGATCTTTCAGTTTTTAGACAATAACACCTAAAAGAACTATTGAATTGGTATTAGAAGACCTTCAAAATAACAAAATATGGTCTTCTGGTACCGTAAAAACTAAACATTGATAGTTTTTTAAAGTGTATTCTAAATAATATTTACAGCAATGAATGTTTTTCAAATTTTATATTTTTAAACAAGTACTGAGGATCCAAGAGTCAGTTCGTCAGTAATATGTTTGAAGGAAATTAAAGCATTTGTACTATTTTTTTAGCTTTGTGACCGAACTTCAGTTTTTTGATTTGGGGTTACTTTGATAATGCTCGATGAATGTAGAAAAATATGGTTGAAACTCAAACAATTTAGTTCTTTGAATATGAAACTTTGAATGAGTTTATAATCAGAAAACATCATAAGCAATAAGAATACCACATTGAATTTGTGATGGCTATATCGGAAATACATTTCATAAGTGATGGCTTGAGTGCTTTTTCAAACAAACGAAAAACACAAAAATTGGTTTTTAATATGTTTGTAAAATATGTAACACATACTATATAAAAACTATATACAATATCAACGGAAATACCCTAAGCTACAAAATGGAACCAATGTTTCTAATTTAAAATTTAATTTAATTTAAATATAATCTTTACATTATACTATCAAAGTTACCCGCATTATCAAAGATACCCCGTTTTACGGTATCTAAATAAGCGTCTGTTATCCGTTTGTTATTGTAATAACTAAATTATTTATTATTTCGTTATTCGTAGAATATGTTTGAGGTATTATTTTTGGTATTTTACCTCTTATGTCAGCCTCACTAATACCATATTTAGGTTGCCAGTTATACTATTTTGATACCTGAATTTGTTATTAATAAGTTATATTTTCCTGCTCGGGACTACAAGGTTTGAAAATCTGAATCAAATCGAATAGGAAAACTTTTTTATGATCCAAAGAGCGTAGGTGCAATTTTTCATGTATTTTATCAAAAATCCCCATACAAAATTCCAACTAAAAGCGCCAGCTCATCCTTCAACCAAATGAGCTAAAACTTTCACAGAATGGTTTTCTCACCTAAAGGCACAAATATAGAGGTTGGTCCGTGGAAAACCAGAACTTTTTTTTGCCGGCCAGTCCAAAATTACATTTGTATGAGTTCAGCTGTTCGATTTAACCTAGATTAGATTTGACATAAAGCAGTGGCACGCAATCTTTTTGGGTTTGCAACTCATCATTTGTATGAAAATTATTTCCATAACGAATAATTTGCTTAGTTCTGTAATTCCGTAGCGTCGACATGAAAAAAGCTCTCGAAAAGCTGTTCTCCATCTGTCAGATCCTATTGACAGGGTAGAGCAAAGCGGGGCAAGAGTACGCATTGGTTCGAAAAGCAGGTAAACGGAATGATGGACCAATGATTATGAGTAGGATTGAAGCCTCTACTGAATACAAGCTTGCTTGAAAAATATTATGTATTTCGAATAATCCACCTAAAGGTATGTAACCAGAAGTATGTAATTTATTCGATTTTTGTATTTTTATATAAAATTTAAAATTTTTTGAAGCGGTATTATGATATTATGGATGAAGATTATAAAATAAGTATTCCAGTATAATGATTGATCTATATGACATAGAAAAGATGTAATTTATGGGAGACCCTTTTCATTATCGACTTCCAGTGGGACAAGAGTCCGAATGGCTTAGAGTGGTGGACATATCGTTTCGATTTTGAAAAATGATGATTGAACCTTTTTTAATCTTTAATTAGTAGAATTTAGTGTAATAATATTACCGAATATATTAATTACATCGTATGATTTTATGTTAATTTCCATCACTAAAAAATCACTCAGTTTCAACACTTGATCAAAGAAAACATATGAGGTCATAAACATAATATGCACGTAAATATGACGAACTAAGGTTTAATTTTGATTTGTTATTGATTTAAATAGACGTTTGTGAAACATATAATAAAATGCGCAAAAGTACGCAGTCGGAATTATTTTACTTAAGGGGGTATTCCCGATCTTTTTTTTTCAAAAAATCAAATTTTTTTTTCACGTTTTTTTGTACTTTAGACTATATACTTTCATCCCCCCAAGCCGTTTTCCGATCAGCGAATTCGGTGTCCAGGCATAGCTGACTAATGGTAAGAACCCCCAAAATGGTTTTAGCTAAAGTCAAAACTTTTAACGCGTTTTTCTCGAAACCACATTTTTTTTATCGGGCGAAGATTTTTCTCAGAAACTATAAGAGATATTGACTTGAATCTTTGCGCATTTTGTTCCTTATTAAATTCTTTGGAGCTTCTCCCACTTTCAGCCAAAAATATTAACATTTAACATTGTTTGAAGCACCTTAAAGCTGCAAAAAAGCGGGCTAAAAATCGCCTGTTTTTTTCATATGGCCGCCATTTTGTTAATTTGCAAGATTTTTTGCTGCCAACGGGAGAAGCTCCAGAGAATCTTATGCAGATTATTAATTTCATCACGAAATCTGTTTCAGATGAAGCCATTCCAGAGAAAAGTCTTCGCCCGTCCAGGCGTTTGCGGCGAACAGGGGTCTGTTTGCCGCCATTTTGTGACGTCAATAATGTCTTTTTTTATGTCGAAAAAAATTTATTTGTAAACTTTAATGTTCAATAAACAAGAATCCCAAAGAGTTAGGCGCATTACTATTCATTTTCCTTGAAAAAAAAAATTAATTGAAAAACAGGCCGAAAAAAAGGCAAAAGATTGGGAATACCCCCTTAATCAACAATTTAAGAAAAATGCCATGATTTTTCAAATAACTATCTATAAGGGATTGTGGTCAAATAGGACAGTTTAGTTCGGAATTCTCTCACTAGGTCGCACTAGTGTCCTTATAAATTTCATGCACATGCAGGGTCGATACCTCGAGATCCCTGCTAGATAAAAAGATGCTGTTTTCATTGATTGTTTTCATTCATTGTTTTCATTCATATCAGCATTGTTGTTCATTAAGCTAAGACCTTTTGAATCGTGGAAAGTTTAGTTCGGAATACACTCACTAGGTGGCACTAGTGTTCTTATGAATTTCTAAATGCTAGGTCGATATATTGAGCTCTTTGCTATATGCAAAGTTGCTGTTTTCTGCATTTTTTAATTGTGGGCAATTTAGTTTGGAAACCTCTCAGTAGGTGGCACTAGTATTCTTTCAAATTTCGTGTAAATACTGGGTCGACGCCTTGAAATCTTTGCTGGATAAAAATGAATATTTTCTGCAATGTTGTTCAGAAAGCCAAGGAATTTTGAATTGAGGGTTTTTTAGTTCGAAATCCTCTCGCTGGTGACACTTGTGCTCTTATGAATTTCGTGTAAATGCTGGGTCGAGGTCTTGAGGTCTTTGCTGGATAAAAATTACTATTTTCTGCAATGTTGTTCAGAAAGCCAAGGAATTTGAAGGTTTTTTAGTTCGAAATCCTCTCGCTAGGTGACACTTGTGCTCTTATGAATTTCGAGTAAATGCAGGGTTGATCTCGAGATCTTTGCTATATTCAAAGATACTGTTTTCTGCATTGTTGTTCTTGAGGGTAAAACCTTTTGCATTGTAGACAGTTTGGTTCGAAATTCTCTGGCTAGGTGGCACTAGTGTTCTTATAAATTTCGTGTACATACTGGGTCGATATCTCGGGATCTTTGCTAGACACAAAGTTGCTGTTTCCGTCAATATTGTTCAGGAAGCCAAGACCGTTTGAATCGTGGATAGTTAAATTCGGAATTCTCTCGCCAGGTGGCCCAAGTGTTTTTTTTTAAATAAATTTCGTTTAAATACTGCTTCGACATCTCGTGATCCTTGCTAGATACAAAGTTGTTGTTTTCTGTATTGTTCTTCAGCCTTTTGAATTGTGGACAATTTAATTCAAAAT